CAGATTAATAAGAGGGAGGATGTACTGACAGAGGTATTAAGTTTGCTAATGTAAACATACTTTATCCAAAAAGTTTATAGATTCTGGTAAAATATAAACTCTTTACTCAATTCTTTTTTTACACGATAGAAACGTTCCTGAAAAAAACCGCGTGAAAATGAAATCGTGTAAAAAAATATAGGCGCTGTATGGTAAATTTGGGGTTATGTTTGACAACCTTAAAAGGTCATGTAGGTTGTGAAAAAACTCTTGAAAGAGATCAATATTACACAACTATTCATTTTTATGATAAAAAAAGAAAAAACTAAAATTTGTGTACATTGGAAATTTAGCATATAAGTACATACAACATGCGAAAATTCAAATTGAAATTAGGAATAAAACAACCAACAACTATTCATCGATGTTTGATAATAAGCGTACACTGTTATGACAAACTGGACAAAAAATACCATCATCAGCAGATAGTGCTGGACAGAAAAATTCGTGTGAGACAAGTATATAGGTGAACCGTGTTATTTCAAAATCGTGTTAAAATACAGTGTAAAAAAAGAGTTGGATGTATTTAAGCAATATGAAAAGATATACAAATACCAGGTAATAAAATATGTTTAGTCAAACAATATGATACTTGTAATCAGCGTAATATTTAGAAAAATTACAATTTATGCTTCAATTATATAACAAAAAGTATTAGGTGCCCCAAAAGCTCATAAAAAATATTACATTTCAACATAAGGTGCTCAATGCAACATTAGTTTAAAGCAGTGTTTCTCAAACTGTGGGGCGCGCCCCCCTGGGGGGCGCGAGCCTGGGAAATGAAAAAAAAAGATTTTTAAAAAAATTATTAATTTATAAAAAAACCAAAAAAAATGTGTTTGACATAATAAAAAATACACATTTACTCTGAAATATGTATTATAATGTATCTCAGTACGGTAAAAGTATATTTGATTCTAAGAGCAAGTTTAATAATTACTGGTGATTTTTCAATGGGTTTATCATGCCCAAAATTTAATACTTATCTTGATACTTTGTACTGTTTAAAATTAGGGTCGTATTGTAAGCTTTAGCGTTAAAGTATTATACATTATTACTGCATTCAACACATTGTTATTGAACGGGGAAGGGGGAGGCGATGAAAATTCTGATTGAAAATTGGGTCGCGAATATAGAAAGTTTGAGAAGCACTGGTTTAAAGGCTTACCATTTTTCAATATGAAAGTCGTATGCACGTTTTTCGAATGACATAATCACAGTTTGTACCGTGCACTTTCAATAACTGTCTTCAAAGCATTCGCCGAGTAAAAGTGCATCCAATTCTCATATATGTCCAAGACACCTGACATTCTGAATCGGTTTTGTAGATAACGACCATCGAGGGCCACTCAAAAATTGTTACAATTTTCAAAAATAATTTCTGTTATCATAGGATAACAAAATTATTACGCTGATATTCTCAAATTCAACCTCTTGTGTTTTCTGTAAATGGCATAAGATGATTTTCCAGTGTTTCTTTGTATTTAGAAATGCTCCACTGACCATTTAAAAGGGCCAAAACCGTTTGATGAGTGAAATCAAAAGCAGTCCACACCATCACAGGTTCATCTCTTTTCAGTCTATTGAAATAGCTCAATGAGCTCTATTGGTAAATCCTGCCAATGTTTTTACTCCCGTCATAGTCTGTCTAGATTCCACACCTTTTTACACCAGTGAAAAGGACAATCGTTCATTTATCAACATATGACATATAGTTATGAGCCCTTTGTAATCTATTATTAATGTTATACTTAGAGAGAAGAAAATGTTTGCGTGGGTCTTAAAAAGAATATATAATTGGTCTTTGAATAATGTTCTTGGTGATTCGTAAAAAAAGTAGCAATAATTCTTATGGACAGAAAAATAGAGAAGTGTTGTATCATTTTGGAATATTAACTAAATGGCCATGTGTTGAATAACCTACCTGGGGTTTTGTGCACAATATTTTTCTTTTTATGGAGATTCAAAGGTGGGTGACATCATTTTCTCAAATTCAGACTTTAATTTTAACTGAACCAGTGAAGTTCTTTGTTCAATTTGTGAATGCGAATAATAGCAAGACTATGTAAGATCACGGTTTTGAAAATATCTGTATAAATTTATGAAGTGTGTGATCTCAGTACCTAATGATGTGATGCAGGTGTCAATGTTCCACATTTTCAAAAATATGGCAGTCATCCCTTAACTAAGTGATATGCAATTTTTTAAAAACTTTCCCCAGAACTGATATGACCACGCTTCCTTTCACCAAGTGTCCGCTTGACTTTAAATTTCGGACACTCCCGAATTCAACATATTTGACACAGCACATATTTGATGAATACATAAATCATTTTGATATTTTTTTTCCTTAAATTTAACTCTTATTAAAATTTTAAATATAATACATTTGATATTTGATATTTAAATGTCTTTTTTTATTATTTTTAATAATTTTGATATGCTTTATATTTGCGTTTTGTATTTCAGCTTTATGTTTTTAATTATACATAAATAAAAACATCTTACCTCTTTGAAGATGAAGAACTATCAGCAAAACAAAAGGTAACAACATATTCTTTCCAGAGAGTTCAAATCAGCCAAAATTCTATGAAAGTTGTTTATTCATTTATTTTTATTCATTCAAAGCATATTTTAAAAAAAATTATGTTTTAAAAATACGTACAAATAGTCTTTTACTTTATTTATAATTATTAATACAATAATATAAATATTTCATTTGAATTTTAAATATCTGTAAAAAAATGGAGTAGGAGTTTTAAAAAAAAAATTAACAATTTATTATATTGTTTTTCAAATCTAGGTTAACTAACATATGATCAAAATAACCTTAAAATAGTTGAATAAATAATAAATTTTTTTTTAAAAAAATTGTAAATATATACAGAGAGAGAAAGCTATTCTAAAAAAAAGAAGATATCTCTTCGCTATAAATTACCCAAAACTCGAGATAAATTTTTTCATGATATTTATTACAAAATAGTTCTGAGTGCCATATTTTCCGAAAGTTGAAGAAAAAAGTACCTTGTCCTCCCATAAGTACTGATACAGATATAGAGGAATTAAAATACAGAACCTTGTAGTCAAATTTTAAACTAAATCTCTTCTTAATGATTTATTTTACCTTTAAATTTATAACATACTATATCTTTTATTCAAAATGATAGATTTTTGACTTCATTTAGGCTTTAAATTTCCTTGGCCAATCATGTATGGAGGCATGCGCAAATTCTTTGGGAACTTTCATATTGCTGCTTTCCTTAGAGAAGACTTAAGGTATCCGACTACGTTCGGAACCGTGATTTAAAAAAAAGAGTATGAATGGATAATTTTCATGATATTTAGTCTCAATTAGATTAGAATACATGTATAAAATTGTTTTAAGGAAATTTGGACAAAAAAATTTACTTAAATATAATATTTCGGCATGTTCTCCTTTTGTCAAAAATGATTCTATTATAATAATATTTTGCCTGTATATAGCTCAGACCTCTGTACAGAGACTCAACTACGATTTTTGAAAAATTCACATTATTTTCAGAGTTACCACCAATTAAAATAATTATCGGCGTTTTTCTTAAAATTTCTCCCATCTGTTGTCGTAAAACATGGATAAATTCACTTCTAAGTTTCATATTTTAAAAATTCTAGTTGAGCCTCTGTAGAGAGGTTTGAGCTATATACAGGCAAAATATTATTATAATAGAAGCAATTTTCAAAAAGGAGAATATTTGGAAATGGGTCATTCTATGTTCATTTTTTGTCAAAATATTGTACTTAAATAGTTTTTTATTGTAATAATATTCTTAAAACAATTTTACATACATTTTCTAATCTAAGGGACACTAGATATCATAAATGCTATCCATTTATACGCTTTTTCAAAATCACGATTCCGAACGTAGTCGGATACCTTCGAATCCCGGAGAAAGATGTTTGTAAATGTATAGTGTCTTCGTGGCAGTGGGTATTTTAAATAGCCGTCGAGCCGAAAGTCCTTTCGTGAGGTTGGTGGAAGGGGGAGGCCCCTGACCACCCCCAGGGTGTTCTCCCTCAAAATTGGGGTGAAACCGAGCTAAATAATTTTGTCCCCTGTATGGTGCTCAAATCTACGGCTAACGACAGGCGTCACTTAGCCCTTTACCACGATGAATTTCATGGGCCTTGACCTGGCCTTTGCCGATCAGGTGGCATTAGTAACAACAACAGTCAAATCGTGGAAGTATATGAAGAAGAAGCAATCAACAGGCAACATGCCGCTCTTTTCAATCATGGAGACATAATTGCAAAAACCGCAAATGGCAGGGGCGGCCGGCAAAGGTAAACAAGATACGAGTTGAAGAAATGTTTCAAAATATTTCAAAATGATTCAATATTTCTTGTTTTCGAGGTTGAAGGAACACTTATCCGGCAACCTGTTCTCTTCAGACAGTGCTGTAAAAACATTCGCCGAGACCTGGCTCAATGGACATGGACCTGAATTCTACTAAGACGGATTAAACAAGTTGGTTCTGCGTTCTGATGAATGCCTAAATAGACTTGGTGATTATGTTGAAAAGTGATAGGCACGTATGCCTCTTAATTCTGTCTATATATATATATATATATAAATGTTTCTTTATTCGACTTGTAACCTTTTTTATTGATCAGCCCTCGTAGTACGGCCTGCATAATTTTTATAAATGTGTGAATAACTTTTCATATCTAAATGTTTGGCAGCCTTAAAAACCATAGTGTGTGTGTGTGATGGGCTCTTTTTTTTTGTTGAAGTCATACTTCTTTTGGGGCGTTAGAGAAATGGGATGAGGGTAAATTTTTACAATACGCGCGCACACCGTCACGGATGTGACGCAAAACCGTCACGGATGCGAAAATCCTTTGTCTAGAAATATACAGAACGGGACAAATCATTCCCGCCTTCAAAATTCTCAGAAAAATACATCTCTTCACTTCCCAGAAGAAGGGAGCATCCGGGTTTGAACCGGGACCTCTCGATGCGTAGTTGAATACTCTACCACTGAGCTATACCCTCGCGTTAGCGAACCTCTGCTTTGCGTTCCCTAGGAACGGATACGAAAATGCTTTGTCTAGAAATATGCAGAACAGGGCAGATCATTCCCGCCTTCGACCCCCTCCCCATATTATTGGTCCTATTGTCCCTGTGCGGGGGTGTTTAAATTTATTTAAATCCTGATTATCTCAGGTTTGGCTGGTCCGATTGACTGAAGGTTAGTATCGTTCAACTCTGCTCGTGACCGCCTTTCGTCCTTTCCCAGCTTTTAGAAAGATTTTAATCTTGTTACGCCAAAGAAGTATAACTTCTTACGTGCGTACATAAATACACACACACACCTTTTTTTTTTTTTGATGCAGAGAATAACTACTACACATTTCTGTTCGACGTCCATTCTACTGTAAAAGATAGTTTATTTTTTGTAAATATTTCTTCAACGAAGAAATTTAAAAGCGTCGGCTGCGTTTGAATCATAGTACACGATCTCAAAGTTTTTAAACAGATCTAGGTATTCTTATCAACAATCTTTACGAAATGTAACGTATCTGATGTTTTTAAAAATGATCTTGATAGAATATAAGTTTGAAATTATTAAAAATAACACAAGTTTCTCCTAGGTTTTAAGGCTTTCGAAAGTTTTCAAGCTTTAAGAAACGATATATATAGTCATTTTTAATTTAATATGTAATAGTGTTTTATAGAAACCATTTTTGTTTCCCTTATCTCCTCTGTCAGATTGGAGTCACGGAGCATAAAATTTCAATTCCCAATTTTTACTGGTTATGTCTCTTGACCAGATATTTCTGTTTAGTGTTAAATACTTGAGTTCTATTTCATGCAAACTTAAAACTTACTTGGAGAAATGTATTGACATGTTATTTTGTTATCACTAATATGTATCTAAAGTATCCTTTTATATATAATTATATCTAGTTTTTTAAAAAAAGAAATTGATCATTATAATACACAAGTGCCCAAAATTTGTCTTCGAAACATATGTCACACAAAAATATAGTGATTTTGGCCAATTAACCCTTAACAATAATTTTGAAAAAATTCTCTTCGATAAATATCATAAAATTGATCCAAGTACTCTTCTTAGGTCAGTGTTTGCAACTAACTCAATGCAACAAATTTATTCAGGACTTATACCATTAGATTTATTTTTGCAAAAATATAAAATAATTTTAATCTATATAATGATAAATTTTCTACAAATTGTGCAAATACCATTAAATGCATATTTGTTGTACATATGTAGTAAAAAATTTGTATATGTATGTGACAGGTTTATACCAAACAGTCAAACTCTGAAAAACATATGTGTTAATAGATACCACTCAAATATATTACAATTTGTATTTTTTTTTTGTAAAAGAATTATGGATTCAAAAATGGCTTTTTTATTTTGGTCACGTAGGAGTGAGCAGGACTTTTATATTTAATATATGGACACAAATTTATATTCTACTACATACACATTCTAATTTAAAAATTTTATGTGCAAAATAATAAAAATATAAAATTTTAATAAAATTATATGTTCTCAATATAACTTAATATATAAAAAAAATTTGCGTGTAAGTATTTACATTTATGTAGAAGTCTACATCTATCCAAAATTCTTTCATTTGTCTTACGGTATTGAAAACATTATTCAAAGAGTGGTCAAACACATAATAATCCTCACACTTCATCAAGATTTTAAAACAGATATTTTACCGGGTTATTAAAAAATGATAGTTGCCCCTACCATCATTCATTCTTTTACTGATCGAGTAACCATTTCAGCAAAATAAGACATTTCAGACAGTAAAGTGTAAAAGTTTAAGAACAAAAAAATCGTAAGCTTCAGTGGCAAACATATGACGCGATAGTCATGTGCCAAAGTAATCACGTGATCGTGACGTCACACGAATTTAGTCCATTCAGCACATCAAAGATATTCCTCTATCTAGAAACACAATAAAAGAAAAAATCTTAAAAATGGCCGGAAATGTAACAGATCATCAACAACAACAAAAATGACATTAACTCCGCTCAATTTATGTCGCTATGTCTTGATGAAAATACTGACGTCACTATAAAGCTGCACGTTTAACTTATTTTCATGATAATGAGCAAGAAACGTCATTAAGGAAAAATTAATTGCGATTACTTCGCTGCTAACGACTACAAAGGGCACAAATATTTGTACTACAGTTAAAAGTTCGCTTGTCGAGAAAGAAATTGATTTGAAATAAATTGTTTCAGTAACAAGTAATGGTGCATCAAGTATGGTGGAAAAAATGGTTTTATTAGTTTATTTCAAACAGACGTATGACATTCTATTCTTGAATGCCAATGCATATTCATCAATATGCCCTGAGTGCTAAGAGTGATTTGATAATGTAATGTCTCTAGTCCCCCAAATAGTCAACATAATTCAGCATGCATTCTGCTAAAAGTAACATCTTACACTCCTAACATAAATTATTTATCGTGGCCGTGGTAGCCGAGTGGTATAGGTATCGGATCGTGGCTGGCTTTGTCACAAGTTCGAGCGCAGTACAACTAAAGACCCGCCGTGTAGGGCAGCGATGCACGTTAAATCTGTCGAGAGCTCAAACGTCCTCCCACTGGTGTGGTAGTCAGGAGAGGGGGATGCAAACTCAGGTGTCATCCACGTCACTTGACCATGGTTCAAAATTACGTGGTCCGACGCCAAAAGCCCACGTGTAGCTGAACAGTGCGACGTTAATATTCACTCACTCATAAATTATTTGTCGCCTTATCTGCAACAACAGAACTCACTCTAATGTTACTTTATTTTGAATTATGCGTATTACTAAAATATTTACAACCATACCAAAATGCTTCTCAAACTTTCAGTATTTGCGACCCTATATTCAATCACACATAATTTTCATTGCGCTTCCTCCCTACAATAACATTGTGTTGAATTCAGTAATACTATACTTTAACGCTAAAGCCACAATAAGACTTTAACCCTTTTTGTGCCATCGGCTCTCTCAGCCAAAGCGTAGATTGCCTCAAACGAATATATACGTCTTTACGAAATGCAATCTCTTCTGTGCACTGCTATTCAAAAAACTATTCCGAAAGCATTGGACTGCAATAAAAAAACATTGATAGTGTTTGTGAGGGATTTATTTAAATCGCAGGATTTGCTTATTTATTCCTTAACCCCCCGAACACATCACATATACACACCTACGTGGAAAACGGTGGCATTAGGAAGTGAATCACGTATCTTTTAATTGGCAACTTAGGGATTAATTATAAACCGTACAAAAAAATTATCAAAATAAGTGTTAATATTTGAATATAATTTTATATATGACAAGTCCATGGCGTCAGTGGTAATTATTAAATTTGTTCTTAAGTTAATCTTGCTAAATTAGTTATAAAATACGCTGTGTCTAGTTCTGATACATATATTATATCAGTGCAAATGTGTATTTATTTCTTAGTATATCAGAATGTATCCTCACTTCCAAAAGGTAAGCACGAAGATGTAAAATGCAAAAAAAATCAACAAATACTGCTTTGATTGACACAAAATTTGGCAGTAAAGTAGCATATATATTTATACATAAAACAAAATCAATAATTTTATGCAGAAATGAAAACAATATTAAATTTTTGTAAGTTATAAAATAATGTCATACTGGAGACTTAAACAGAATTATGTATAAAGTAAAAATAAACAGCATAAAATGAAAAAAGACATTAATAGGGTATGCGATCTGTATGCAAAGTTTACACCTTCTGACCATGCTTTCAATTAGGTGGTCAACCACCGCAGAATCAAGCAATCGCCATTCTTCTTGTAGAGCACTTTCCAGCTCAATAAGAGTGGCTGGAGGTAGGAAACGTGAATATACAGCACTGCTGAGAGCATCCCAAAGATTTTCAATGGGATTAAGGTCGGGCGAATAGGCTGGCCACGCCAGACGAGCAATCCCTTCACTCTCCAGGTAATCATTGACGATGTCAGCTCTATCGGGAAGTGCGTTATCGTCCATTAAAACAAAAGTAGGACCAACTGCTGCAGCGTACAATCTCACAATGGGTTCTAGGACTTCATCTCGATACCGAACAGCCGTCACAGAACCCCGTTTAAAGATGTGCAGGTCGGCTCGGTATCCCAATGAAATCCCTGCCCACACCATAATGCTTCCGCCTCGGAATGCGTGATGTTCGATGAAGTTTTGGGGCTGATTGCATGTTCCTTGTTTAGGCCATATCCTTATACGCTTGTCATATGGCTCCAGAGCAAATCTTGACTCATCAGTAAACATGAGATTGCCCCAGTCAGACAGTCCAATTGCCATGTTCCCTGCTCCACTTTAATCGTTCCCTCTTGATTGGACGAATAGAGGAACACAAACTCGAGGTACACGGGCATACAGTCCATTCATATGTAATCTTCGGGGCGTACAGTAGCTGCAGATATAACCTTACCAATGGACGCTGTAATCATAGATGTCACACGTGTGGAGGTCGCTCTGCGATTTCGCTTGGCTACAATAGCACTATATCGATCTTCCGCGGGGGTTGTAACCCTTGGGTGACCTCCTACGGGCCTTCGGACAACTGTCTGTGTGGTTTGGAATAGTTTCCATAAACATGAAATTACAGAATGATGAACGCCGAAGAAAAGAGCAACATCTGTGATCGACTGTACTGCTTCAATGCGCCCCACAGCACGCCAGCTCTCAGAATCTTCCATTCGTTTTCTGGAAGTCATAGAAACACGTATGTCTTGAAAACAAATTGTACGAAAGTTTTAAATACCTTCTATCAGCACTTACAATCAACTTCTGTAACCCTTCATAAAGCTGGCTTCTTATAAGACTGCCCTTTTTGCATATTTCTTGACATGAAAGCACGATTGGCTGTTACCTAACATATTTGCATACTTCCATCTACCTCTGCAGAGAATTGCATCCTCTTCAATTCTGATTGGCTTCCGGAAATTAGCATTTTCCTCTCCGTGCTTAACTTTTGGAAGT